AGTCTGACATTTTCAGCCCTGTCAGTAAGGAAGTGGGTAGGAGTGGGGATGCTGTTGGGTAGACAGCCCAGAGTCTACTGCAGGTGACAACTAAGTCAAAATTGTAAAAACACTGCCTCTCTTTGCTCTTACACATAGCAAGTCTTGCTTGAGAGTTTTATTGTACTTAAGAGTCAAGCATTTCAACTCCCCTGCACTTTGGTCCGTTAAATTCCAACTCGTTTCAGGCCTCCCTCATCTAGAAGCATCGGGTAAAGAGAATACTGCTAATTAAAAATTATGCCAAAAACAAATTCCATCAGTGTCACCCTACGCTGGCACCTTTTTAAACAAGGTGTCACCAAAAAGGGAAATTTAAAAATATAAGCCTTTTCTCTTTCCTTATCTTCAGCCACCTATCTAACAGATGGCATTAACAGGAACAAAACACCTAGATAATTCGCAACTTGTTTTTTTAATTTTTGAATAATTGAACTAAAGATTAGAAACCTGAATTAGTGCCAGTATGTAGGACTTTATAGTAAACCATACATCTGTACAGTTATATCTAGATTTATAGCTATCCTATTTATCGCCCAAATTCTAGGCCGGTTTAAATAACTTTTCTCTCACATCCCGAGCAGTTTAGAAATTATACTTCATCAAAAGTATGTATTAACCTTTTCTCATTTTATTTTCAAGATACTTTCCCACTCCCGCACCACAGTAGTTTTCCTAATATTCCAAATGAACTCCAGAATTATCCTGAAACTTTAATCAGGTACATGATTTCAAGTGACGAGAGTTCACTGCTACCTGGGCAGGGCCACCTCATGTCATACGTGGAACCCTGAGAAGATACGACCTATAAAGGCAAAGAAATCTTCTCCTGATTAGAGCAAACTGGGCCATGTACCTGACCTAAGGTTCTAAAGGGATCTTCTGTTGCTATGGAGGGAGCAGCTAATTAAAAATAAGTTTAAAAACAGAATAAAACTAACCCTCCCCATGGGAACTCTCAGACCTCTTCCCTTTTTTGACCCCACTCATTGGCAACCCTTCTAGTTACCAACTGCGACTCTTTATGCTGAGAGTTGACTTCTCACTTTCCTTGACCAAAGTGGTTCATTATCAACTGGACATTACCTATGTGACACACTGGTGTCAGAGGGTTCCTCCCTAAGAGAGAAGTCTGTAAACCAAGTATATCAGAGTACATTTCTATTGCATCTGAAATGCAAGCTCTTTCCATTCTGAGATTATCGGGGTGTATTTTTTCAACAATGGAAACAAATAAAGCAATTACAAAGTTTTCACTGAGGGTCAGCATAGTGTTCAGGGCACTGGCACTTCAGCCAGACCATCTGGGTTCAAATCTCGAATCGTGTAGTAAGTGCTCAATAAATGTTAGCTGTTATTTTACTTGGAATACACTCAATTCCTGGTCTACAGCCTACATGATATAGTCTCTCTCTCAAACTTTACCTTGTTCTACTGTCCCAGGTTGTTCACAACCTGACGATTTGCCTCTTCAGTGTCTTGATCATTCCAAGTTCATTTGCCTCAAGGTCTCTCCCACTTGCTTTTCTCCCAGTATGGGATGTTCTCCCAGATCTAACTGGCTCCTCACCATTATTTTGAGTTTAATGGCAACCTTTCTCCTAGAGGCTTCCTCTAATTAGCCTATCCAAAATAGCTTCTCCTTCCTCACACCAAAACCTCAGCTTAATTTCTTTTATGGCACTTATCACTAATTTACTTGATTTGTCTCCCCCATTCAAATGTAAACTCCACAATAGGAAATCTCTTGTTCATCTTTATCCCAGATCTTAGAATGATAACTGGTACACTTAAGGCACTTATTTGTAAAATGAAAAGGGAAAACATTTTCAAGTCTAAATCCCATCTAAATGTAAAACCTAGCCACGATGCCCAGAGAAAACAGGATTTCAAAGAATAAGATCTGGGTCCTCTAGTAGACACCTGTCACATTCTTCACAGCTCTTTTTGGAAAAAAAAAATCTTTCATTAGAGAAAATCCCAGATTATGAGTTCTGTCTCCCTATTGTAGATGTCAGAACTCCAATTCCCAGCTGCTCTTGCAGCTAGTATGTAGGTGTGTGACTAGGCTGTACCTACCAGGCACATCCTCATAAGACTGACTCAGAGAAGAACATAGGCGACACTGCTTCCCGCAGTCTGGGCTGCAGACGAAGTGTTGGGCTTTCTGGGAGAGCAGTACAGCTAGGTCAAGTGAGACTAGTGAGGCTCTGCTGGCGGTTCCCTTTGGTACTCACGAGACCACTTCTGTGCATGGATTTGAGCATTGTTTCTGAAAGTACAACCTTGGTTCTGTCCTCAGTGACAACCAGGTTTGCAGGAACGACCAAAACTGCTCGACTGCCTAACTTTAAGACGTTAGTCTCTATGATATGAATAGTTCTTACATTAGTTCGCTTGTTTGCTGAGAGTAAGATACAGTCCAGCCATCTTTGTTTTACACTCCGGGCCTCAAATTTATTTCTACAACTTAGGAGAAACAGTTATATAAAACCTGCTCCATCTTTGTAACAAAGAAAAGCCTATATGTATTTTAAAAATGAGTTACGTTTCAGTTAAAAAGTGATGACTATCTTAACTTTGAATTTGTTAAATAATCCATTCATAATAAAACAAGAATCCATATCAGAGTTTGGAAACTGGTAAGTAAATCTGATCTGTAGAGGGTTTTGTCTGGCCCACGTGTTTTTAAGTTTCTTTTAATATTTGCAGCCAGAGATACAAAGATTTATTTCACATTTACATTTGTGATTTCTAATGATTACAGGCCTGCATGTAACAGTTAGAGAGTAGTGGCCTTTTGACATGCCATTTCCTCTGCAATTTGCCACTGATACATACTCACATACCGAATTTCTTTAAATTTTGTTGTATATATTGGAAATTGTGCAGAGTATCTGCCATTTCATGAAAATGTTTAAAAAACATGAAAACATCTATATTTTTCACTGTTATAAAACACTGGATTAAAACAGATTAAATCAAAATAATAAAGGCAAATTAAAGGGGAGAGTGGAGAATTGGTCGGTGGGTACAAAGTTTCAGTCACGGAGGATCGGCATTCTGGGATCTGCAGCACAGCACGTGCAGATGGCTGACAATACTGTATTGTACACTTGGAAACTGTTGGGTGAATATTTATGTCGGTTTTTTTCCCCACAGTAAAAAAAAAAATCAATGTAACTCACAACATTAACAGAAGTACATAATTTAATAAATATAGAGCAAAAAGCATTTGAAGAATTTAATGATAACACTTAGCAAACTATAAACAGAAGGAAATTTCTTTAATCTGATTAAGGGTATTATTAATCCACAGCAAAGCAACAAGTAATACTAGTCAAATAGTCTTTCCCAGGTGATTGAGGAGATAAGAATGTCCACTATTCCCCTTTAATTCAATACTGATTTTGGGGTCCAAAGTAGGTCAACCATAATGTACAGTTTAGAAATGGTCTACGTGCACAGCATAAGGTGGAACCTAGAAAAGCTAACTTTGAGGAAAAAATCAGCAATTTATTCGAGAAATTGACAGGCTACAAAAGTGGCTTCATCTTGCTAACCTGTGAATATTTCACTTTATTAATTCAAAATATTTAACAGAATGACCACTTCCTAGGTAATTAGAACAATTTACATTTTAAACACTTATTTCTGTAAGATATATTCTATCATTTGAATTAGAAATACAGTAGACCCAAAGAATGTCAGTAAACAATAACTGACCTTAAGTATACCATCCGTGATCAATGTGTGTGCACTAAGTTTACTACAACTTAATTCCAGACATAAAATAGACTATTTAGAGAGCTTTTTGACTAGGAAAGGTGGGGGACAAAAAAGCAGGACAGGCAAATGACCTGCAGTTTAAAACACAAAATCCTGTCATATTATATCTCACATATTCAAGACACCCTTCACTGCTGAAAACACAAGACAGTTCTAGGTATCATAACCCACTAATGGCTATGCCATCCAGTAAATTATGGTTAAAAAGCCCCTTATGACAAGGAGTCCATGTATTCACAAATGTTGTAAAATCCGTCTCTTCTGTACATTACTGAAAAAAATGCAAGTAATATATGTTGAGGGTAAAATGACAATCCACATCTTTCTCAGGGTAGACAATGCACGCCACCTCAGTACTGCGGAAACGTCCCATCGATTTTGGTGGCCCAGGCCATGAGGCCGCCCACGACATCCTGAAATGTTGAAGAGTCTAGTTCTCGGGCTGCTGTCAAGGACTGCAGGATCCTCACGGCCTTCTGGGAGTCATTGCCAAGCTTGCAAATCACATAAATGGGAAGAGCTACTCCTTCCTGTGCGCCCTGCTTCCCTTTCTGGATTGCTTCTCCTAAGAGTTTCAGACTCTCCGTATCCCTCCGTTCCAAATGTTTTAAAGGGATGTGTAGGGCATGAGGCAAACGACAGATGTCCGCTTCCACTTGAGGCCTGACGTCCAGCAACAGGTGGGGTGACCCAGAATCCAGAAGTCGCTTATAGTCGGTGACAGAAACTCGCTCCTCTGGGTTCAGCAACTGCAGGGAGCGGCACTTATCGGTGGCTGAGCAGCCACAGAAAGCTTCATAGTCCTGCAGGTCAGTCACGGTGGGCCGCTCCCCGCAAGCTGCACAGTCGGGCCTGCGGCTCCGCAGCTGAATACAGCGGAAACGTCCTCTGAGGGCATCAAAGAGCAACAGGCTGCCACTGTAGGAGGGGCCCAGACCTGCAGCGATCTTCAACACTTCCAGCGCCTGCAGGCATCCCAGGACCCCAGTAACGACACCGAGCACCCCGCCGTCCGCGCAGTTGGTCACCGTTTCAGCCGGAGGTGGTTGGGGGAATACGCAGCGATAGCAAGGCCCGCCCTCGTAGTGGTAGACTGTGATCTGGCCCTCGAAGCGCAGCGCGCTGGCCGACACGAGGGGCCGGCCGGCTAGCACACATGCGTCGTTAACCAGGTAGCGAGTGGGCACGTTGTCAGAGCAGTCAGCCACCACGTCATAGCGGCGGACTAGGTCTAGTGCGGTGGCTGGCGTAAGCGCCTGGGCGTACGGCACGCACTCCACGGCCGAATTGAGACGGCGCAGCGAGGCGGCGGCAGAAAAGACCTTGGCCTGGCCGGCCAGTGCCTCGCCATGCAGCACTTGGCGGGGCAGGTTGCTCATTTCTACTACGTCGTAGTCCACAAGGCCCAGGCGGCCTACACCGGCCGCGGCCAGGTACTGCGCCAGTGGGCAGCCGAGCCCTCCGCAGCCCACGATTAGCACCGACGCTGTCGCCAGGCGCAGCTGTCCGTGCACGCCCAGCTCAGGCAGCACGAGCTGCCGGCTGTAGCGCAGAATCTCATCTCGGGACAGGGCGGCCTTCGCCGGCAGGGGCGACACCGGAACCAGCAGCTCTGGCTCCTGCTCCGCCAAAAGGGCCGCCGCCAGCCTCTGCTTGAGAGAACCCAGCTCTTTCTCACGCTGGGCAACTTCAGCTTGCAAGGCGAGTACTTCCTCCCTGGTAGCCATGGCGGCCTCTTCAGGAAGTTGTCTTGAAAGGTATTTCCTCTTCCGGCTTACCGTCTCCTAGCAACTGGAATAAACTAAAAAACTTTCTGAAGCTTTGGAAAATGTGGTAAATATATGTATTTTTTGAAGCAACCATCAGATTCAACTTTAAAGATTCATAAGTCCTGAATATTTCCAATAGAACATTTCCAATAGAACCGTACAGAGGGCCTTAGGAGAACTACCACCAGCCATCCCCCCTCTTCCCGAATTTGGTACAGTCCGACTAGTTCCCTTCCCGCTCCGCGTTTACGTCATTCCGCTTCCGGCGTCACGCACAGTTCCGCCATGGCCTCCATGGAAGGGAGTCGTACCCCTGCGAGGTCTCGGCGGGATCCAGAGAGGCGCGCCTCGCGACAGGACAAGTATTCAGTGCTTTTGCCCACCTACAACGAGCGCGAGAACCTACCGGTCATCGTGTGGCTGCTGGTGAAAAGCTTCTCCGAGAGGTAGCGTACCCTTCCGCCCTCCCCGAGGGATGAGATGAGCTGGCTTCCCCTGCCTGGGTGTCGGCAGTTGGCTGCGCGAGGCGGCCCTGCCCGGCCTCTTCGGCTCGTGAGGGAAGCCTTGGGGAGGAAGCCATCCTGCGAGGAAAGCAGAGGCGGATACTTCTGGGATTGTCTTCGTGTTTTAGGTTCTCCTTTCTGCCCTTGGGTTTTGCGAGACACTCATTTATCTTTATTATACACTACGTCCCCCCGCCCCCTCGCTCTTCCCGCCGCCTTTTTCCCTAAAGGGCTGGCCAGTCTTAACTTGAGGCGAGGCTGTAAGCCTGACCTCACTCCTCCCTCTAGGTGGTCAGGATCTGCGGCCGGAGCCGGGCGTCTAAGCGAGCACGCTCACTCCCGCCCCCGTGCCGAGTGCTTATGTAAGCATGAGGTTCGGTGTCTGGGTTAGGGAGCCGATGCTGGGCTGGACACCCTTTCTGGAGAGAGCAGAAGGGCAACTTCGTTGATCGCTGGTCGCAGTTTGTTGTGGTCGTTAAACCTGGGGGCTTAGAGTTTGAATTTGAAAGTGTTTCTTCAATTTTTTTTAAAGCTTTAGAACATCCTGGTTATCAGTACAAAGTAACTTTTTTTTTTATAGTTACACTGATGGGACTGTTGTAGAAATCTTTGAAGATCTTTCCACATCAGCACATAAAAACTTAGCAAATTATTTTGAAAATTAGTTACTATTCCATATGGCAGTGTTATAATTTAACCGGGTCATGTTAACGAACACAGATTATTTTCAGAGTTTTTTGTTTTTCTTTTGTGACTTTTGCCTCGCAAATGATAACGGGGCTTTGTTCACGCCATATTTCCAGCATTTTGAAAAATGCTTGGCACATAGTGAGTGCTGCTTTATTAGATGAGTGTTGCAACAAACATTCATACTTTTGCTGGTACACGGAGGTGGAGAAGGAGCGGGGAGTCTTCGCAATCATATCCTTGGATCGACAGAGGTGTGCTTAAAATTCATAGTTATTGCCAAATTGCTCTCAAAAAAAAAGAATGTAAAGGCTTAGGACTCCAGCATTCTTTAGAATGTTCCTGTTCCCCCACCAGCCAGTCAGCCTGCGCATTATTAAACTTACATCGTTGGAAATGTTAATTGGTGAAAAACATTGCTGTTTTGATTATATTTCTTTGAGTGAGATAACTGTCTTCAGGTACATTGTTCTCCAAAATTTGTTATTCATATCTTTTTCCTCTTTTTAATTTACTTATCTTTTTATTTTGATTTCTACAAGCTCTTTCCAATTTAGAGAAGTTGTCTTGTAGTCGATCCTGTGCTCATTGGTCTTCTGATTATACAGTGTTTTTTGCTCTATTTTTAAGTGTTATATGTAGTGTAGTTTTTTTTTTTAATAGTTTCTGAGTAGTTTTTTTTTTTTTTTAACCCTAATGAAGTTTAATGACAGAAACAACTTTTCTACTCCGATGCAATCAAATGACCTAGTGTCACCTCTGCGTGATTCCTTTAAGCTACCTCACCCTCAGGCGGTGTGGATGCTTTGAAGTGGGAGAGAGGAGTAATCTTGCTTATGAATGACTTCATTTGCTTATGAAATATATCTCTTTCAGCACACGAACTAGAATCAACATCTTACATGTTTGGGCTTGTAAAGCTCACTTGCCCAAATTTAAGGCACTGTGAAAGTGGAAGTCATTGTATCCACCCTTAGAGAATAGATAGGCTGAGTCTTGCTTTCTGGCAGGTTTGCTTGGGCTGACTTTAAGCCTTTCAGGGTGGAATGAATGTGTTTCCTGGTTGATTTCCTTGCAATTTTCTTGAAATTGGACCAAGAAGAAAAAGAATGTTGGTTGTGGAGGTTTGGCCCTGGCTCATTTTCTTTCCTCTTAAGTTTCCCAATAAAGTTAACAAAAAGAATGTCTCTTAAAGGGGGTGGGGCAGACATTGTGGTGATCACATGTACATTTAAGTATTGTGTTGGCTTGTTGTGTTTACCGTAGTAGAAATTATCCTATGAAGACACGGAGAGCAGCTAAGAGATGTTCATTTTGAAGCATATTGAAATCTTTTGTAATTCTGTGCTATTTCTTTTTATTTGATAATACAGGATAATGGGTACAACTATTTGAAATCGTGGCGTAAGAGATTATGTCACCATTATAAAGTGGGTTTTTTAAAGGGTAATATTAAATCAGATTTATTTCTGATTGTCTTCTTTAAATCTATTTTGGATTAAATTAAAAGAATAATTACTCAGCTACTCAAGCAATTTGTGTTGTCTTAAGTATACTTTTTAAATAGTTAATATAACTGATTTATAAGTTCCGTAATTCATATATCCTATCATATGTAATGTATGCACTGTCTATATAAAGAGTTAAAAATCACTGTTTGTTTGTTTGTTTGTTTGTTTTAACTAAAGAATACGTTCTCTGTGAGAACTTTTTGACATCTCAGGACTCTCATAGCATTTAACAGCAACATGCTGAGTTTGGAGATGAAGTACTGAATGTTTGACATTTCGTTTAATAATTAAAGTGTTCTTTAGTGGTTAATATGGCAATAAATTTCCACTACTGGTGCACAATTAGTAATTTACAAATTATTTTTTAATTTGAGAATACTGTCTCCAAACAATACAATTTTTTTTGTTTGTTTTAGTGGGATCAACTATGAAATTATAATCATAGACGATGGAAGCCCAGATGGAACAAGGGACGTTGCTGAACAGTTGGAGAAGATCTATGGGTCAGACAAAATTGTAAGTCGTGAATATTTTTCTATCTTACCAGTTCTGTTTTTATAGAGGAAAGACGAGAGGTGAACAAGGCTTAAATTCAGTCCATTTGTCTAGAACCTGAAAAGATAAAGAGTATCTTATGCACTTGGGATTTAGATGCATTTTCATTGTGCTTGAGGTTTTACATCTTTTTGATTTCTTGGACTAGTAGTAATTTTACACCAAAATGGTGAGTCTTTGGATGAACTCTGTTTTTTATGACTGATTCTGCAGATAAATTTTCTTAAAGGACAAAATTAAAGCATGATATTGAATTGACAAGAAATATTATAGGAGTAGGTTGCAACTAGTAATGTGTATCTCGATCTTTCTTGCTTCCTATCTCTAAATATTCTCATACATTCAGTAGGGAATACTGCCTCCAACTAAAAGCTTATAGCTGAGAAAGGTGATTGTTTTCATGTGAAACGTGAATGACTTTTCAGAGTACTTAGCATTTTTCTTTTTGTCTGTAGAACAGTCTTGTGGGAGTAGATTGACTTTTCTGAGTCTTAAACTTTAGATTATCCCATTGTACCTTGAAGCCTGTTCTTCTATGGGAGTAACTTAGGCAGACGTAAAGTTCATTTTATAATGGCGTCATAATTTTTATTTTTGGTCACTGGTTTGAATTTTAAAATGTTTGAGCATACTAGTGAGCTTGACTTTGGGTAATTCTTGAGCCAAAAGCATACAGTTAAGTCCAGATTTAATTAGAAAGCATATTCCAGGCATTGAGTATTGTGTTTCGTATAGTGCCAGAGTTTCTCAGTCTTGGCACTATTGACATTTGGAACCCTATAATAATTTGCTCTGGGGGGCTGTCCTGTATGGTATACGATGTTTATCATCATCCTTGTACTCTAGCCACTAGATGCGAGTAGCTACTACCCCCCTCCCCAGCGTGGCAACCAAAAATGTCTCTGGATATCATCAAATGTCCCCTTATGGCTATTGCAAAATTGTCCCTTCCTCCCAATAGAGAACCATTGGCATAGACATAAAGAAGTATTTTGGAGAACCTTTACTGATATTTACATTTCAAGAAATGGCAATTAGCATCATAAAAAATAGTCACCGAGTCCAAATATTCTAGATTAAATAACGAAATCATTTATATTTAGTTGGAGGGGATCTTGGTTGGTGGGAAGAGCTTAAAGGAAATGTGTTGCTTTTATATACATAGTAAATCTGTCCTGTACTAGAGAGTCTTTCAGTCTGTCTCACAGATGAGAAACTCATAGATCCATTATACCTCCTCCAGTCCTCTCTGAGTATATCCTGATATATAGGCGTACAGAGGAGATAAAAATTTGACAGGCGTACAGAGGAGATAAAAATTTGACAGATTTTCAGCCTTCTAGCATTGATTTCCAGTGATACCAAGTTTATATTTTTGGCCAACTGTTCACCTGTTTCCCTTTTAGAAGTTCTGGGCCATGGCCACTGATTTCCATTTATTATATATAGAATACTCTGAGTTATGCGCTGCCTTTTAATCTGTGAACATTGACTTGACAATATTATGCATATTTTTGTCATAGAAGCTCAGCCTTGAAGTGTAATTGATTGATTGATTTTAGGGAATGCCTACTAAACGGACCTCAGATTGTAAAACAGCGTGGTCCTCAAATGGTTCCATGTTTCCCATCAACACAAAATTCAAAATGATAAAAAAATAGTATTTACTATCACGATTTCCCCATACTACCAAGAAAGATAAAATACTAAAATATTTTTTATGACCTTTATATCATTTAAATTAGACTTTTTTTTTCTTTTCGGTGTTAGGCCTTGCCAGAGATGGCACTTACTTGCTTTTAAGGATTTATGTATGTTCAGTTGAAGATAAAGGTGGAGAGAAATTATTATTGAAACTATCTTACAATATCTCAGATAGTGTTCAGACCAGATGACTAGCTGGCTAGTTTGTCAGCTAGCTTTCAAACTGACTGAAATGAATGTTTCAGAAAAAAGCCAAAGAAGATATTTTTAACTCTAGTTGACGAAAATGAGATAGGAGGGTTAATTCGCTTCCCAAGGTTACATAGCTAACTAATAAATGGCAGAGGTGGGACCATAGAAAAATTGGAGGCATATCTTCTAAACTGTAGGGCTTCAGCCTTTCTATATTGAGTGCTTCTATTGCGTTTGATTGGAGGTTTGTTTCATCTCCCAACTTGAGATGGGCCATGTGCAAATTATTCTCTGCTGATGTAACTCAGGTACTAAGGATTGAAAGACAAAAGGACGAAGAATGCAGTAGTGTCAGGGGCCATACTTTCTGGTGGTTGCTACTATCACCAGTTTGATACTCATCTTGGTTGTCATCCTGTCCATTACTAACAAAAGTATTTATGGTTACATTTTAAGGAACACAGATTATCGTTGATTTTGATATGCTTGCTAAGGACAGTGAGGTTGGTCAAAGATCATAGCAGGAAACAACAAAAAGATGATTTTTGTTCACATCTGTGTCTGTATAGTAACACGTTCGTTACTTTTAAACATCAAATATTACTATAGGGTTGAGCGATTTGACTAACTTAAAATATTCTGTTCATTCCCAAATACCAAAATACAATCTCTAACAAAAAAGATCAACACCCCAGTCAAATGTACAGAAACAGATAATTCATGAAACAAGAACAAGAGGCCAAAAGGAGGAGGAGGAATGAAAAAATATGCGCCTCACTAATAAGAACTGCAATATAGGAGAAGAGTACAATTAGCCTTTCTTAACTGAAGATTTGATTTTTTCTTTTCAACCCATTGTTTTTGAGATTATGGTAAAAACATGTTCCCTCAAATACTGTTGATCCTAGTACAGACTGATATCGTTTTTCTGAAATGTTATCAAGATTTTCTTTGATAAAAATTTTTTCAAAGTAAGTCTTTTGTCAAATAAATTATAATGTAAGTTTATAAGCAGTTGTGTTGTGATGAGCCCACTCTAGAGTCTGTGCCCAGCAGCCTTACACGCACTTCTGTGAATTCACGGCTTGTTCTCCTGACAGCCCAGTGAGGTGAGCTCTGTTGTGCCCTTTACTGCCCAGATCACACAGCAAATTAGCCTGTGGCTTCAGAGTGAGGAGGCCAGAGAGCGAGGGTAGAATTAAGGGTCTGAAAGTTAAGCACAATAAATGAAACAATTTGAACTTTTCATAATGTAAGAAATAAATAAGTACATTCTTGGTGTAAAGTGTAAAGGTCACCGATAAAACTGAAGTGCCTTTGATGAGCATTTCCGGACTTGCATCCCAGTCTCTTCCTGAGGGTAAAACCCAGTCAACAGTTTGGTGCGTGTTACTGCTGACATTTCTGTGTATTATGTGTATGGTCTACATCTGTAGAACTAGGTAATGTGCTGGTGTTTTTTGTTTTTAAACATGAATGCAACCTTCGTGTATCATTTACTTTTTAATTATATCAGAGGTTTTTTGTCACCAGATGACCTCATTCTTTTAACTGCTCCATAATACTCTATCATATGCAATATGGTTTATATTTTATATAAACTTGAGAAAATTCCAAAAGTTATAAGTAACAAAATTATCTTTTATTTGGAAAAAAAGATTTTTTCCAACTGAAATGTAGGGTTATAGAAAATCTAAGATGAGCTTTAAAAGAGTGGTCTTTTCAGGGTAGATATCAGATGGGATCAGTATTTTGTCAGTATCACAAAATTAAATAAAACCTGACAAAATTAAATAATTTGTTCAGTGAATTATAATTATTATAGATGATTGGTTGAATGTCTTACTCTCTGTATAAAAGCTCACCAGGCAGGAACGTGTTTCATCTATCTTTGTTCCTCCCGAAGACCTAGAGCAGCATGCATATAGTAAAAAAAAGTCTATCCTGGGTGACTTGAACTGAAAATACTTTGTTTAGAGATTTGTAATCCGAGGCAACACTAGCACATGCAGAAGATCTAAGAAATGCAGCTATATTTCTGTTAAAATGAGTAGCACTTATGTGAATAAAAAAATAATTTTTTAATAGATTTTTGATTATTTGTGTCAAAAAGAGTTGTTTCTTATCCTTACAGCTTCTAAGACCACGGGAGAAAAAGTTGGGACTAGGTAAGTAGAACTTCTCACCCCTCATACCTGCTCCTTGCCTTGGTAAGATTATCCGGTGTGTATTTTTCTAGTTTGGAACAGGGCCAAAATACAGTAACCTCCTGTGATGGTTTTTAATGATCTTAATGACATTTAAATTGCTGAACTTGAGTTGCCTGTATCAGTCAAGGCCTACTTGGGAAAACAGAAACCACTGTCAGTCTTTCAATATAGGGAATTTAATACAGAGAATCTGGTTACGTAGGTGAAGAAGTGGCTGAGAAGCCAAATGGAACAGTGAGGCTGTTCAGAGACTAGTAATAGGTAGAGGTTCCTGCTACCCCAACATGGAGCGACAACATGGAGATGTTGCTTTTAGAGTCTAGGGACCGAGGCTGCCCAGAAGGGGTTGGGGTGGTGGAGTCTGGGATACCTGGCAGGAGCCAGAGCCACTGAGGATATGCAGTCAGTGCCTGGAAGCAGAGTAAGAGAGGGAGGACACTTAGACTTTCCCCTTTTCTCTCTTCCGAATCTTCCCCCTCTGCCTCCCAAAGCTGTTTGGAAGCCAGATGCCAGGAGAACCTGGGAAATAAGTTCCTGCATATAGAACAGAGTAGGGATCTGAGGGCAGACATCATGGACCAGCACATTGCATTAGCTGTAAACCCTTGAACGTTTCGTTACAAGTTTTAAAAGTTATTATTTTTAAAAAAGAAAGCTTTTCCAGCTTCTAAACAGAAAGCTATAAAAAATCTCAGATGCGCTCAGTCATCCTGAGATGAAAATCCGAATGCTTTTATTTCCGTTGGTCATCACGGTTGCGTATGTTGAGAATCGGTATAACTTTACTGAGAAATTGGGGGAGCATGGAGGAAGCAGTTCTCAGAAATTCAGTATCTGCTATCCTGAAGACTATCAGTTCCCTGACAACATCACATCTTCTGAATATCTGAATCCAGAAGGTTCTTCGGGATTGAAATAATCTGGACACTTCTATGAAAGCAGCCAAGATTTACTGACCAGTCAGTGGTGTATCCAAAAAGCTGTGATGAATTCTTTTTTACAAAAGAAGTTAAAAGAGATCAGCCTTGCTGATAAGGTCCTGTGCTGGTTTGGGGCTATAAAATGCAAGAATCCCCAGTGCCGCTCCTGACCAGTTACCTGCCAAGTCCCTGAGGGACTTTGAGGCATGAAGGTGGCTGAGTAATAGCTAACTGCACTTTGGCCCCAAATGCCAGAGTAGGGCTCAGGTATACCAGGCTTTCTACTCTACTGTGTAGAAGACACGGCATACCTGTGGAAATGGGCCAGAAGAGCAGAAGCAGGGAAACTTGTTAGAGAGGGAGCCAAGCATCAGAAGATGGTGCCCAGGACTAAGGTGAAGTCGGAGACAGTGGAATTGAGAGATGTTTTTTGATTGAGAGTAGATGATATTTAATTACAGTTCAGGATCACCTTTAGGGGACTAATGTATGCTTTTTAGTGCTTAACAACAATTTCTTCTCTGTTCAAATATATATATAGGCATTTCCAGTGATTTTCTTTAATGAAGATAAACATTCTCATTTTTAGGAACTGCGTATATTCACGGAATGAAACATGCCACAGGAAACTACATAGTAATTATGGATGCTGACCTCTCACATCATGTAAGTGGTATATTTCTTTATTAGCTATTTATCATAGTCCTAGCCTATGTTACTGACCTACTGTTTATTCTTTCTGAATTTCAGCCCAAATTTATTCCCGAATTCATTAGGTAGGTAATTCTAATATTTGGAAAAATTATTCAAATCATTTATCTTATGTTGATTTTGGACTTTTTATTTTTCATTTTTCATTAATTAAAAATGAACATGCTATTTTGTTTGCTATCAAAAATAAAACCAACATATAGATTTGAGACTCACAAATATATAGATATGTGACTAAATGATATTATTTTAGGAACTCTGAGGGACTAATTAAGAGATAATTCCTTTGTTATCTACATTCTTCCAGACTACAGAAAAAGATGGAAGGTGACTTCCTGTTAAGTAGAATTAAGCCCTGCATCATAAGGGTAAAACCCAGGAACAAATAGGGTTTATTCCAG